CCTAATCTGATAAGAAGATACCTTAAACAGATTATGGGAAGAAGGAGACAAGGAAGTGTAAGTCAACTGAATTAAAAGTCGAACCCAATTGGTAAGGGTGGAAGGATAAAGGTCACAAATGGAAGAAATCTGCCACTAAAATGAAGTGGCAGGAAAGGGCACCACATAAAAAAGCCATGCAAGCAATATAACAATAAAGAGCATGTATGGGACATAGAACTGTGGATATAGGTTGGAAATGGAAGGAAGGGAAATCAGCTAGAAGGAGGAGTTACCCTCACAAGCTGCTTAAGTTTTGGGAAGAAAGAATGATCTGGATAGAGGAGAACATATGTGGTATGATAAAGGGTACATGAAATATCAATGGCATATCCAAACTATGACATCCACAGGCCAAGAGTAGAAGGAAATAAGTCTTAAGGGATAAGTGAAAATCAAACATGAGGAAAGATGTTCAAACAAAGGCAAAGTAAGGCAGTGATGAACCACATTGACATCCCAATCTGGAAGGACTGCACAACGAGGAGAACGACGAATCTGCAAGGAATGCAACAATTGAGAGAGAGTAGGAGACATAAAAACTTTATGGTACATAGAAAAACAAAAAGTGTGCAATAAGGAACCCTGAGAACCTGTAATTGAGGAGATTGAAGACCTCCTGATTAAACAGCCAAGTGAGGTAATCCGTAAGATGAGGAACAGTGGGTCGAGCAGGTAAAAATCCCTGATCCAAAGACCAATGGTGGAGGGTGTTCCACTTATATTGACAAACATCCATGGATGAAGAGAAAATGGAACAAGCTAAAAATGAATCAATTTGCTTCTTCATCAAGGACTGAATAAAAACCAGTGTGATGACAGAGAATATGAAGGGCTAGATGAAATGCTAGTGACTGAAGTTGACACAAAAGGGATGGAGTAAGAGGAAGAGGTAATAGTGGGGCAGATTGGAGCTGGAGCAGCCACAGAAGCCACAGTTGTGCTGGCCAGTATTGAGCAACCAGAAGGACCTAACACACGTGGATGATCAAAATCACCCTGAGAAGAGGACAGATGTGAAAGTACACATAAAGGTATTTGTTGGTCTAATCCAGACTGAACACATTGACAGCCAGTGCAAATGGATGAGAAACCAGAAACCAAAACAGAGGTAATTTGGTATTGATGGGTGTGGCAAATGCATCCAGGTGAGGAGTACCCCACAAAAGACATAGCCACTGGAAAACGAGAGGATTGATAGACCATTCTGTCAGATAAACTTTAAGTAATTGAATATACCCAGAACATGGCATGCAAGGAGACGATTATTGAACATGTAGGCCCAAAAAAGAAGATCTACGGTTCGACCATAAAGGGAACGAGAACAGGTGCCGTCTTGGTGTTCTGATAATGGATCCCACATAAGGTTCCACTGGTCATTTAGGAGATAAGGGCTTCCATAAAAGATCACATCTCCAAAAGCAACAGACCTTCATGAACAGTAATAGAGGGAGCATTAAGGGCATGTAGAACTGAAAGCTCCATCTAATGGAGTTGAAGAGGAGAAGGTGGGCCCAACTGAGTTGACTGTTGAAAAAAAAAACATCCAAGTGGACAAGATATTGGGTAGGTATAAGGAATGACTTTTTCAACTTAATTAACCAATCCACACGAGCTGCCTCCAGGAGATGTGGATGAGTGTGATGTGCAGACTCCTGTTTGGAATGAGGTAACAGAAGCCAGTCATCCATGTAATGGTGTAAGCACAACCCATGAGCATGCATATGTTGGGCAAAAACCTTGACCACTTGACAAAACCTATATGGGGCCAAAGCAAGCCCAATGGGCAGGGTGCAAAATTGATAAACAACCTTGTGATGAACAAATTGAAGATAGCACCTCAACAGATGAGAAATTGGAATATGCAGATAAGCATTTGTGACATCTACTCTGGTTATCCATAAACCTAGAGAAAAAAGCCTACCTGAGGGTGAGAAAAGACTCCATGATAAGTCAGGGTAGAACCAAAAAGTGACTGAGGTGGGACAGATCCATCAAAGGCCACCAGTACCCGGATTTTCTTGAGTACTGCAAATGGCCTGGAATAAAAATCTGGAGAAGGATAATTTACAGGTTTGATGGCTTTCTAGAAGAGAATATTTTGTACCACCTCTGACAGATGTTGGAACATGTCAATCAGCATCAAATAATATGAGAGGAGGAACCCCTAGAGGTATGAACTGGTAAGGGCTAGGAAGAAGCAAGGTGGGAACAGTAATAGAGGCTTGTCTAGGCACAGAATGAGACAAAAAATCAACCAAAGATGACAGGATCGATTGTTGTCTCACCAAATCAACATGGGATTCCAAAGTCTCAAGAATATTTCCAAAAACAGACTGCCAGAGAAAGGGGGCCATATGCAAGTCCCAGAGGTAAGTAGGTGGTAAATGAACTTGGGACAATACAATGTTCCTCCCTGAAGAACCTAACAACACAGAAACTACATGTGTAAAGAAAGAGCTGAAGAAGACAAATATGCCAATGTGAAGGTAGTCAGGGAGAAGCTATCCCTCAAAAAACCCTCAGAATCGAGGTGGATAGTAGACAAGTACTGTAGGAGAGTTGATATGGTAAGACAAAGGTGGGAAAACTAGGTGTGGGATAAAGGAACAGGATGATCAGGGTCTGCCCACACACACAGGCAAAAGCTATTCCAACTGTTGAGAATCAAGAAATAAAAATTCAGCCTGGTGGTATGCTGAAGCAAACTGATCTGAAGCCTGAAGGGGATTATAAGAAATTGGGGAAATGGATAAAACAGAAGACACCTGAGAAATCATATCTAAAAAAGCCATATTAGGACTAGCTGATTCTGCAGTAGGGGCATGTGAAGACACAGCGAAATCAGGTGGAGGAAAAAGGCTGTCAAATTTCTCAACAGCCAAAACAGTTTGGCATGTTTAGGAGGAATATGGGTAACTTTAGGAGAAGGTTGATTCATATAACGAGGAATCTCATGGCAAATGAGAGCCGACAATTCCATAGCCGAGTTACTCCACCTGTAGCCTGTGTAAACGTGCTGGTAGACTGTATTACCCATGAAGTGGTAACCTGGACTTCAGAATTCATTGTTACAATGAATGATCAAAGACAACAGTGTTAAAATAAAGAAATGAAACTGGGAAAAACAAAGTTATCTTTAAGTTTGCAAACTGTTTTGAAACTGGAAAGAACAATTCCACTTTTCTTGTATTACTTATTTTGATATGTCATGAAATACTTTATGGAAATGTTTTTCTTTTAAAAATTAGTATGAACA